AAGAGCAAAATGTCTATGATGGTGTAGACCTGATCAAAGAGCATAATTGATCCCAGCACTAATTTTATGATGAAAGGGATCGATTGTCAACCTCAAATCTCTCTTTCTGCTTTTGTTGCCATTGTTCCAGTGGCAAAAGGATTCCACCTTCCTGTCTAGAAACACTAAATTGAAGTGGAGCCTCAGTGCTTCTTCAGAAACCAAACGAGGCAGAATGGGATTATCCGAGAAAAGCAACAATCTGATTCAGATGTCATGTCTCTCTATTTAGGCTCTTTCTTCATAGATCATAGCTGACTCATGGAGGGACCAAGAGTTCCATGTAACAAGCTGCTAAAAGAAACCTTGGTGGTCAATTCGATTTGCCTAAATCAGATTTCATACCACTTAATCCAATATCAAAAGGTAAGTATCAGTCGGATCTGAATTCATATACCTCGATTAATTAGTCAGATCATATATTATTTCTTTTTAAGTCATGTTTGCTTAGATACTAAGTAATTAGTCTGATTCTTTTGATCAATGAATTTTTTTTGTTTGATTAAGAAATTTTTTTTAGTATATTAAATGATGTACAAAGATGCTCATATGCTGCCAATTCAAATCTAAAAATTAATGAGCTTTTTTTTTGTTATTTCTTTTGTATCAACCAATTATAAAGTCATTTTCTTTGCTTGTCCACTTGATATAATAATAATTATTATTATTTGTAATTAATAGTTGCCATCTAGCTGTTGAGTTATTCCTAGCAGCTTGCTGGTAAGTTGATGCATGAACCTATCCCTATTCATTCATAGCTACATAAGTGCTAATATGGTAGGTGTATATATATATATATATATGATGATCCTGCAGGACCATTTGGGCCATCTTGAACCAAATTGGATTTAATGAGGTAGGATCTGAAGACAATATTAGTCACATACATGCCGTAAGAAAGAGATTATTCATCCACAAATCCATAACTTTCTTATACATTATTTATTGCAGCACACACCATTTTAAATATTCCAACAAAAAAAAAACCACATTTTCAAAGCAAGACGAATTGAGATCGTTTGTGTCTGCTCTATATTATTCTTTTTTTTATTCACTTTTTTTATGGGAAATATTGTTAGCGTTTTTTTTAAAAAAAAAAAACCGAACATTTTTCTTTTTGTTAATTTATTAAGTAAAAGTTTTAATTATCTTTTACTATTGTTTTTTATTCTTATAAAAGAAAGACTTTACCTTTTCGACAATATTTAAGATGTCTTTAATTCTTAGCTAGTATTATTTTTATTTTAAGGTGTCAACTAAGTTAATTGATAAAGTTCTTAAAAGTATATCATAGGCTCGAATCTTTTTTTTATATATTTTTTATCTTTTTTTGTTATGCTACATTTTTTTATACTCATGATTGTGCTGAATGATAGAATCCGTCGTTATGACATCCACTAAAATTTCTTCTTTAATTTGTTGATTTCTTCATTAATAGGTTGTATCTATTAACTTTACAAAAATCTTAAAACATGAAGTGGAAATATATGTTATATAAAGAATTGAGATTTTTTTATATGTTATATAACATTTTGGAGCAAAAAATAATCTTACTCTCATAAGTTATATCTATTAGGACCAAATCGGCACTAAAAAGAGAGGGTGAATTAGTGTTTTCATAAAAATTATGTCGATTCAAAAATCTCGTTCGATAAAATCGTATCGAAAAAATATTTAAACTTAAAACATTTACAAAAATTATAATAAGCAAATAAAATAGTTGTAAAATAAATAAACAAGCAGAAACATACCAATTTTATAGTGAAAATATAGGATTTAGTGTCTACCAAGAATTGAGATTTTTTTTAGCTTTGCAAGAATCTTAAAACATGGAGTGGAAATATAGGATTTAACTTTGCGGGAATCTTAAAACATGGAGTGGAAATATTAATCCCTAATGAAATATTAATCCTTATTCATCAAAAATTTAAATTTAATTAGTATTCATCCAAGTAATTTGAATATAATTGAAACTCCGTAAAATATCTATCAAACCCTATCAGATACCAATTTCCTAACTCAATAATTATTTATGATTTAAATATAATTAAGATTCCTAAAAATACTTACGAAATCCTAACATATACCAATTTCCTCACTCGATAATTATTTGCCTAACACGGCAAACATATTTATGAATGAAATTGGCATCCCTTAAAAGAGAAAGATCATCACGAATTCTATTCTATAGAGATGTAGTCATGTCATGAACATAATTGACGTATTCATGGTGATCGCATGTGGTGTAGTCTTGGTATTTATATGTACATATCTTATAATTCGATGAATCATATTGTAATTACTCCGAGATAATACATGTCGATTTCTTGAACAGAAATATGTAATTAAATGCTAGAATGTGCATATAAGACTGCAAAATGTTGTGTTAGTGTCTCGTCCTTGTCCCCAAATGATTTGACTGATCTTACGAAACTATAGCCATCTGTTATTTTTGAACATTTTATTCACGAGAATTGTAGCATATGAGAGAGAAAGAGATGAAATAAAAGGAGAATTAATGGCGTATTTGTACTTATATGAGACTTGTTGTTGAGTTCAAACTTATGTTTGATTAGCCACATGAGAAATCCGATCAATTATATTAAACCCCAATGATATTATTTATTATTTTAATAGAATATTTATACCACAGAAATTTCCAAGTAATAATCTCCATGAGATCGAGGAATATTTTTTTTGTTTTTTATACTTAAATATATATTATTTATTATTTGGTTATAAATCCAACTTATGACGATACTGTTAACAGTTTCTGTGTGGGAAGATTGGCGTATTCACTGTAGACTTGTTATATTCTTTTTTTTTATTTTCATAAAACGGCCTTTTTCCCTTTTATTTTTGGTACTTGAATATTTCTTATTATTTTTTAATTATGAATAATAATAATAATAATAATACTACTTTATTCTACCTGCAGCAGAATTTCTTATTTATTTTAATATTTCTTCATAGGATTTCTTATTTCATAAATACAGCTGGAAGGTACATTAAGTCCGTCCGTCCTTTTGCAAGTTTTCACATGAAGAAGAAAACGAATCAAGTCAATCATGTCGTCGTCCTCAGACTTCACTCTCTCGTCACTCTCCACCTTCTTCTGCTTGTGTTCCTCTTACCTCATTTGCAGCTCAGGCGTTCATAGCCTAATTAAATGCCTCAACTAAACTTGTTATTCACCATGAGTTGCCACAACGTGCCTCACATCGTATACATCCTGGAATGAATCCTAATCAATGCCTCATTAAATGTTGGAATTTGAGCTGCTGCTTTGCCCCAAACTTGTGATGCGTGGTGCTCCTGCTGAGGACGGGAACGGCTGATGAGCTGCTGCTGCTGCTTCCTGGGTTGCGTTACGTGGAAGGCTTGCATGGGTCATCCCCGGTGTCGAAGCATATACGTGCAGTGATCCGCCACTGATCACCTGAGTGCGACCCAAGACCAAGTCTTTCCTTCATATATATTTAGTCGCCATACTGTTCGACACTTGTCCAAGCACTACATAACACGCACAGAGAATTAACCCACCAGAGAGAGAGAGAGAGAGAGAGATGGGGAATTGCCAAGCGGCGGAGGCGACGACGGTGGTGATCCAACACCCGGGGGGAAGGGTGGAGAGGGCGTACTGGTCCTTGAGCGCGAGCCAAGTCATGGCTTCCAACCCCGGCCACTACGTCGCCGCGGTTATCGTGGTCACCGCTCCTCCCTACGCCACCTCCGCCACCGCCCGCGGCGGCGACGCTCCCCTGAAGCACCTTAAGCTGCTTCGCCCCGACGATACTCTCCACATCGGCCGCGTCTACCGCCTCGTCAGCTTCGAAGGCAAGTCGCTAAAGTCCTACTTCCCTTTCCTCCGTTTCCTTGCTCTTGGTTGTGAGCGTCGGAGGCGTGTGCAGAGGTGGTGAGGGAGTTCGCGTCGAAGAAGCACGTGAAGTTGGGCCGTCTGCTTGTCAAACAGAAAGAAAAGCACCGGCCCAGATGCGAAAGAGGCGGCGACGGGGGCGCCTCCATTGCCATCGCTGCCTCGGGCCAGCCAGGTAGTGGTCGTGGTGGTGACGGTGGCATTGAACTCGAGTCGGAGACTCCACCGGCGACGGTATGTGGATTTCTGCAGTATCTTCTTGTTGTAATTCATCTACGGCGATCGACCGGATACATATGAAAGGAATTAAGTCTTATATGTTCCTCGATGTTCTCGTTTGTCATAGGAACAGGAAGCGGAGGCACTTGTGGACGCCGAGTTGCAGGATGCGGCTGTCGGGAGCACCAAAGCAAAGATAGCACGCCATGGGCAGTGGAAGCCAACCTTGCAGAGCATTGCCGAGGTCGCAATTAGCTGAAGTACTCATCCTCGCACATCAATCCTAGCTCTTAAGTCCGAGTAAGTATATACACAAATAGTTTCTGTTTTCGATTGATGATGATGATCATCGCGAGGTATTGGGTGTGGAAGAAGAACATGTGATCTATTTTCCTGTATTGTCCGCAAACCAAAAAAAAAAAAAGCAAGTCAAGTGGCGTTGGCATTAAATGATATGACAGAATAGGTTCATCAGAGTTTGGCCAGCAGAGAAGGATGGGTGAGGGATGTCTCCGTCACTGCAGCAGCACCTTTATGCTTGTCATTTTCCTGGAGGGGAGATCATTAGAGCTGGAATGGGAGGTGGAAAGGTCGTGGTCCATCTCCCCTGGTTGAAGTGAAAGGGAAAGAGCTCATGGCCTGCTCCGAAAAGGAAGAGGCATTTAACTCGAACACCTGACAATGAGATAGATGCCTTGATTTTGACCATGAGAGCTCCTTTCTTCCAGCTGTGTCTGTATGCGTTGACGTCGTCGGTATAAACGCTCCACGATGCAGTTTTTGGAGGAAAACCTTCGAGGGAAATTTATTATTTATTTTTTTTGAAATTAAATGGGCGAATTCTCGAAAAAGAAATTATAATTTTTTTAAAAAAAGTTAAACCCAAATATCCTCGATATCTATCCTTTTTTTATCTTTTTTATATGGACTAATTCATAAGTTAAATTGATCTAGTTATAATATTTTTAGTATTTTCAACAATACTAAGAAATCATTGCAACTTTGTGTTTTTACACTATTTTATATATTTTTTTGATATTATTAAAAAATATTATAACATAGTGCAAAATACTATAATGCAGTATTTTTTTTAGTTGTGTCATGGTGTCTTTTTGGTATTGATGAAAATATTATAACATAATATATAAATATTTAACTTGATCTGCACATAGTATGATCAGCACATAGGAAAATAAAGGGAAAATCAAGTGCATTTTAGGTACTAAGAAAATATTATTAAAGAATTAAAAAATAATTTAAAAAAAGAACTTTTGAAAATACGGTGGAGGTATCTTTTCTATATCTTCTTAATGGAATTCTCCTTTTTGTCATGATTTTAAGATTATTCACCATCAGAGTAGTGCGGATTATACCTTATGGATCAATCCATAAACTAAATCAGTTTAATTTCTAAATTACAACATATTTGAGTAGGCTTATAATATTTTAAAAAGCATTATAAGCCTGATAAAAAAAATAATGTAATTGACATAGAAATCTATCTATTTACTTATTTTTATTCATAAAATAATAAATATATCTATTTGAAACCTCATTTTCGTATATGAGCTGCTTCTATTGAATTTTGAGTCTATTTGTCTCGATTATATCAATAGAGTTCCTTATTACATGTGGTTTTAACTAATAGAATTCAAAAAAATTTAAAATTAATAAAATATTTTAAATTTTGTAGAATAATTGTCCTAATAGAATAAGAAATTCTAATGGAAAAAAAGATGTCAAGTAATTAAGGTTTGGATCTTTTATAAATTTCTCAAATATCTTTAGATTTTGACGAGAGGAGAGAAAGATGTGAGAAATATTTTTGGTGCTTTTGAGTTTCTCCCTAAGATATCTAGAGAGGTTGAGAGAAAAAGGTATAAATTCTTCAACAATTTATATGAAAAGATGTATAAAAAAATTTATGCCTAAGTGGAGATAACTAAGATCTTATTATTAATTTTACATAGTGAAGAATTTGATTTTCGGTATAGGTAGGGATTTATGAATCATGTTAGAGTAGGTAAAAAAATTTATGTTTGAGTGTGGATAACTTAGTCTTATAATTGATTTTACATGATGAAAATTTTAATTTTTTTTAATAAATATTAAAATTTATTGTAATCTTATATTAATTTTTTTAAGTATGCTTTTGATTGATCTCAGATTTTGTTTTTAATTTATTTTTTCTTCCTCCGCAACAAAAACAAACGGAGATATTTGAGCCTGTGAATAATAAAAAATAAATACATTAACTATTTGATATCTTATTTATTTAAATAAAGATAAGGGGATTCAATGGATCAATGATGATGGTCTTTGGATTCTTCTCACGGACAAATACTAGCATGTAACCAATTAATAATAACCTTTTCAGTAAGGCCAATTGGCTCAATTATACTTTAAGGAGGTAATTACTCCTCCTATTGGGTGACAAGACTTACCTACCATCAAAGGGACCCACCCATCACTGAGAAACCTTACAAGCAAAAGAGGACTTCCATTCGAGTATCCCATGCTGGAAAGGTATCACCTACAATGAAATAAACCCCCAACAACAGACACTGTCCTATATCAATGTTTGGAAGTAGCTTACATCTTCTACTGACCTCCAACAGCTAGTAGTGATTCTGCATTATAATTTGAGCTGCTCCATCCAAAATGGACATACATAGGTCTAGCAAACCAGACCTGAACCCAACAGGCCAACCCAACCCAACCCAATATACTAGTGACCCAGACGCACTGGTCTAGCCAGATTTCAGTTGTCTAAAATCTTGATTGAAAATATCTTTATGTGTGACATAAAAGAAAGATGAATTATTAGGAATATAAATCTAGAGCCTAAGTATATGATAAATTATTAGGAATATAAATGAATAAAATCATATATTTATCTATTTGCCTAAGCTTTTAAATGGATCAACATAAATCATTAACATAATTCGATATTGTGGTAGAATATAAATGGGTAAATCCTATCTTATTCCTTATTAATGATAAATATGATAATGTACTGAATAATGATATTATTTATTATGATAGAGTTTGATGCGATAATTGATTTATTAATTTAATCCACTTAATTTAGCTTTCAAGATATCAAGTAAACAAACCAACCGACTACCATTCTGTCATAATAAATTATAGAAAAAATTTATACTTATCTCATCAAAAATATTTAAATTATTTTTGAGCCTAACGAACTCGTCTCTGTCACAAGCACACACGCATCACATGAACGTGACAAAGTTAAAATAACATAATTATCTATAAAATTTGAATTGCATTTGAATGTATTTTGGTTTTTTTAGACACTTTATTAAAGTTTTAATTTTGAAGAAATGGACTGTTGGCTCATTTTATTAACTTTGATTTCAGTAATTGCAGTTTGAAGAAAAGGAAAAACATATTTGCAACGAATTTTTCTTGTTTCGAAATTGTGCCGGTATGGATAGTGACAAAACGTGGCCCCACCCAACAACCCCAACGTGGCTCCAACCGCCCGTCCCCACTTGGAACGCGTCTACCGTCCACCCATCTGTTATGACTTTGACTTGGAGGGTCCCGATCGTCGCATCTCGATCCAATCATCGCGCCCCAGCCGTCCATTACGGTTTGATCATCATTCCTCTTGCGCCTGACCTCCGAGTCACATTTAAAAACGCCGAGGCCGAAGCTTCCGTGCTTATCGTTAGCTATTAATTTCCCTATTTACCCCTTTAATTTAAATTAGTATACGTATTTTTCATAAAGCGAAAAAAGGAAAAACTTAGTTATTTAAATCTTAAAGAGATGTTAACATATAAAAGGGTAAACAGGTCATATTAGATTTTGATAGGGGTAGATATGTAAAAGCGTCATTAATATAGTACACCATCCCTCCTCCCTCGGAGCGAAAAATCTTCCTCTCTCTCGCGGCCGCCGATTCGGAAAGAACGAGCGAGGAGGATGAGCTACTACAACCAGCAGCCACCCGTCGGCGTCCCTCCTCCCCAAGGTATCTTCCATCTTGAATCTGATGCACGATCTCGGGTTGAGGTGGAGAATTGATCCTGATGATGATGGTGATGTTGATCTTTTTCATTGTTCGGGTCGGATTGTTGGTGGTGATCAGGTTATCCGCCGGAGGGGTACGCCAAGGACGCCTATCCGCCGCCCGGGTACCCGCAGCAGGGCTACCCGCCCGCGGGCTACCCACCGCAGGGGTATCCGCCGGCGGGGTATCCGCAGCAGGGATACCCTCCGCCCTACGCTCAGCAGCCGCCGCCCCGGCAGCAGAGCAGCGGCCCTTCCTTCGTCGAAGGATGGTAATGAAACCTGAACCTTCTCTCCCTCCCTACCTACCTTCTTCTGTCCTTGTACCCTTTTCCCATCTCTAACTGGTCGGATCTGGCGTGTTGGTCCAACTTGGAGGCGCCGGGTGACGGGATCCGCGGCTCGTGGTGCCGGATCCGCCTCGTCGCGGCCGTGCCCGGTCGTCGGTGCACGATATCGTGTCCTGGGTTATCGTGCGCAGCTGGGCGTTGCGACCTGTAAACGACGTGCCAACCACGTTCAAGCCTATGACGTGCTAAAGACGTTTACTTTCCCATATTTGCAGTTATCATTCATTGCACATATATGTATGTATACTCATTCACTGTTACCAATCAGGACATACGGATTCGAAACACTTTTAATCCTTGCTAATTAAGAATATCTGAGATGATATTTACTTGTTTGAGAAGTTATTTAGGCATTCAATTTCTTGCTATAATTAAATTAGGAACTTATGCCATGATATTTACTTCTTAAAAAGATTATTGAAGTATCAAAAGTTTCTACCTCTATTTTACATTTCTTTTCTTTGTTATCATCACTCTTCCAAGGGAGAAAACGTTTCTGCTAATTAATTTGTGGTGTCCCAGATTGCAAAGAAGCAATGTTGTTGTGATGCTAAGACAAATATACGAAGTTTTATTTTCACAGGTGATTATCTAGGTTTATGCTGTCATGATCTGTCACACGTAATGATTGATCTCTAGTAGATAACTGGTGGAGAAATTCTAATTTCTGGCATCCGGTTTAGAAATTCATGGAGATTGGTGGTGAACCAATTCGATGCAAATGCAAAAATATTTTAGTGGGCACTGGGTCAAATATCTTCTGAGAACAAAATCTGCATTTTATATTAGAGAGTCATATCTGATAACAAGCAGCTTTGAGCTGCTTTCTGTGATAAATTGTTTATTTGTGTTACTCTTTTTCTGGTTTTGCAGCTTGGCTGCTCTTTGCTGCTGCTGCCTTCTGGATGCTTGCTTCTGAGAGGGAATCAGAAGAAAAAGGAAGGATATAATCACCATATGGTCTGATTTAAGGCGAGAGTGGTGGTTCCATCAACTAGTTTCCATGTAAACAGTGATTTCTCCCTTCTTTTACCTTTGTTGTAAGAAACCTCGAATTTAGTGTGCCTTCCTGGTTTTACATTTGAATTTCCATACCTGCTATTTAATAAAAGATGAATGTATCCTTTATTGGTGTTCTGTTTGCTAGTATCTCTACAGTTGGTATTAATTTGATCTGTAATAGTAGTGGATCCTGGTTTTACATTTGAATTTCCTTACCTGCTATTTAATAAAAGATGAATGTATCCTTTATTGGTGTTCTGTTTGCTAGTATCTCTACAGTTGGTATTAATTTGATCTGTAATAGTAGTGGAAGCTCAATGGACATTGAGCTGCCTGCAGGTGTCAGTAATAGCAAAGATGCCCTGAAATTGGAATAGAACATTAATTCTGATTGCTCATTGGGCCTAAATCTTTTGCTGACTATCTAGTGTTGAATTGTTTGACTGGAAGTTTGAATTGCAGATTTTCCAGGAGATTTCATACCTGAGCCTATGAGCTAATGATGCCCTTAAAATCCAGCATTGTGATTATAATCTTATTTTGAAGATAGGCAATTCTGATGAAGAGTAGATGAACAGGTAATGACTGAGGGAGGATATGGTGGGTTCTAAATTGGTTAAAGAACAGTTTTCTGTCATGTTTCCAAACTGCTCCGAATTAGGTTTCATCTGGCAGCACAAGAAGAAAAAATAGACTTGGAGTCAACGTCAATAAAAGAAAGGGTTGACTGAGTTGACTTGCTTGCATTAGGTTCAAGTTAACCAGGCCTTTTTTCATGTGATTGAGTCGATATATACTGTTGTCTAATTTCATGCTTCGCTTGCTATTTAGGTGTTTCTCTTTTGCCTGTGATTACATACATACAATGATGTCCAAATTGGAGAGTTGATTGAACATGAGATAGAGAGGGTTGACTGACTGGTGGGATGGTGGAAAACTATGGACGATGGATCAATTTATATCGACATCCCTGGTTTAGTTTATGACTCCTAGGTTTGTAATTTTTAGGAGGACATAGATCGAACCTTACCTAATTCCAATTAGATTTGTCAGTCAACTTTGCTACGGGCTTTCCTAGGGAGGCTTCTTGGTAAACTGGTCAACTTGGTTGTTGGATAGGGAGGGAGGCCACATCTAAAGCCAACCTTGTTGTACAAGTTTGACCAAATCAGAAGAATCCAAGCCAAACCCCTGTAATGCTTTATGATTATTCTGACCATTCCATCCAACAAACATGCTTTTATGCTAAAACAAAATCATATTTATTATCACTATTTTAAAAAATCTATTGATAACTTCCTAAATTGTCACTATTACATAAAATCACAGCGATGGCAATATAAAAAATAATAATAATAAGTAATTCCTATGATAGATATTTATTGCTTAATAGTATTCGTTACAAATAAAACTATTGCCGATGTTGGTCCTGACTTGTGGAAAACAAGTTGGGAAAAGGTTTCTTCTCTTTGTTGGATTGAAAATTACTGTTCCATTATTCTACTAATTCTACGTGATTAATTGTGTCTAATGGTATAAGTAAATTATTCGAGCTCTAAAGGTTTTTAAATCTAAAGTTTAAATATTCTTTTATTGGAAATGGCAAATCCTAACACATTGAGTGTTCCAAGAAATTGAGTTTGCAAATTGTAAAACCAGATGCTCCGTATTTACAAAATAGATTATATCTAACAGAGGTAGAATAGTTGATAGATAAGCAGATTATTTGATAAGGTTAAACCCTGTGCCACTCTTTCAATTGATTTAATTTTGTCCACTACTTGAAGATTATAAAAGAAGGGTTACGTATTGCAATTTTTTAATACAGTGATATCCTTCTTTGTTTTCACAGCTGAAACAAAACAAATTTAGATTCCCCTGTTTCCTCCAATCAAACACCTTTAGAAGATTTATAAAAGAAGTTAATACTGATGTAGGAGTGAGTGATTTTACTTACGATGATTGAAAAAAAAAAAGGTGATGTGACAAAAGTGAGTATTACTCTAAGAGATCGATGTCTGTCAATCGTAGCACTTTTTCCTGAAATTTATGTATCATCAAAGTTAGATTCTGTTATTGTTCGGTGAAAAAGATCATGAGTTAATTATCCAATATGTTCTCGATCTACTATAGAATGATCAAGTGTAGAGGGAATTTTGAAACTAAAGATACTTAGATACTTAGATGAAAGAAAAGGAATGATCCCGTTGTCATTATTATGTGCTAGAAAATATCTCTAACATAGGCTCTATCAATTTATAGTAAGGGGATAAGTCCTCCTCATTGAAGATATTACTGATGCCTATATCTTCTAGTAGCTCAAGAATATAGTTATCTTCATTAACTCTCTATACTGTCTTATAAGGATTTATGCTCCTAGTATATAACCTTTTTTATGACCTTAGTGGGATATCTCTTAGGTCAAATCCTTATTATTACTTACTCTTTCTTATGAAAAGATTTATACCTACAATATATATCTTTTGCTTACTTCTATAATAAATTATTTAAAATAATTTTTTTATCTAATCTTATTATAGAACTCATGAATATGTTAGGCAAAAGGTTCAGTAGTATCTAAAGGATGAAAGTGAATGACAAAAGAGATAAGATTGATATGTTTTCTTAGTTGATAGCTAATATTAACCAATAATAAGTTAAAATCAGTTGAACAATTGATGACACTATTAAATATGAACTTGAATATAGGTAGTATTATATTCTAGTTAGCTATGTGACCTACCAAATATCAAAATTATCAATGACCTATTGGCTAAGCATTGAATGACACATCGAGGAGAACCTATGTTTAGCCTCTAATAATTTTCACAATGTCTTTTAAAATTAACTGACAAAATATATATTTTTATCAAACAATAAAATTGGAAAGACCGTGCATATGAGAGGCATAAGAGGTCTTAGAGTAAGGGATAAAATATATTATTTTTGAAAATCAATCAACAACAACAAAAATGGAATCATACTTGGGGATAATGTGAGAGATGCCTAAAACAAAATCCATATTTATATCTTTCCAAGGTGGGTGCTGGTAATAGGGTGTTTATATCTTTGTTGCTTTCTAGTCTTGGCTATTTGATAGGTGTGACAATATCTAATAATCTTAGCTATATCCTTTTTGAGGTTAAGTCAGAAAAATCAATCTTCTATAAGTACAATAATGTGATCCCTATCGTGGTATCTAATTGTACCTTCGACACGCAACTCCCAAATTAGAAAGCTCTTAGTTGAGGTCTTGGGAATACACAACATATTTTCATAAAATATATACTCATTATATAGTGTATAATATAGGTTACCAATAAATCTATGAGATAATAGTGTATACGGTTTCATGGTAGTCTACATAAGCATCCTTCAATTTATCAAATCCAATCACCTATCTTAAAGGTGTACAAAAATATGTTAACTCTTCTTAACATATTAGCTATCTTTTTTTTTTTTTTGACTTTGTATTTGATAACAAATATAAATTGCTGCATATACTTAACCTATTTAGCATATTTAGGGCTATATTTTTTTTAGACATTAATGTAAGATAGAGTTTAGTGATAATTGTAGAAGACAAACTCATGGTATAGAAGATAGTATCTCTAATACCTAAGAGCCTATATAATTACATTTAATTCTTTGTCATAAGTGTTGCATCTTCTTTTACCTTCATTTAGTATTTCATTGAAGAAAGTTATAGATATCTTTCTTGACTCAAAGTCCTATCAATATTAATCGCATCATACATTATCTCAAACATTTTAGAGAAATCAAGTAGTCTAAGTACTTGGGCTTCGATCATTTTAATCTTAATGTCCTGAAAAGTTTTGCTAGCAATTTTGATTTGTATGAACACATTTTTCGTAACACAATATGTGATAGAAGCCATGATAGTGCTAAAATTATTGATGAATGTATGATAAATAGTCGCTAAGTCATGGAAGTTATGAACTTTAGTGCTTATGGTAGGTTCAGGCCAATCTCGAATAACTTTTATTTTTTTTGGTCAATTATAAGTCATTCAATAGATATTATAAATTTAAACAAGACAATATTATCGATAAGAAATGAACATTTCTTAAGATTCAAATAGAGATTTTTTTTTAAAATAACTTCTAGTGTCTATATAAGGTGTCCTATATATTATCAATAAGAAATTTCCAAGATAGGGTCATAAAACTTGGGTGAGTCATGACTCTCATAAATATGAATAGGGCATGGTGAGGCTAAACAACGTAACTAGCCACTTGTAGAGGCAATCCTTAGTCTTGAAGGTAGTTTTTCACTCATCACCAGGTTAGATTCTAATTTGATAGTAATCAATCACTCTCAAGATTAATATTAGTAAATCACTTAGGATCAATCAAAAGGTTTAATATATCATTCAACTTGGGGATGAACCAATACTTAATAGTGATTTTATTAATGGCTCTATAACCAATGAACATATGCTAGCTGCCATCCTTATTCAAAGTTAGAAGGCCAAATTAGTACAAGGACTAATGCTTTCTAATATGAACCCCTTGTGAAGTTGTTCAATAACCTGCCTCTTAAGCACTGCATTCTTAGTAGGATTCAACCAATAGTGAGGCAAATTAGGCAAAAAGATTTTAGAAACTAAGTGAATGACATATCACACATTAGAGATAACTCATTAGGAATTTCTTAAGGGTTATGTCAAAAAAAATTTTAAAATTTTTTTGGACATCAATGAGTAGTTTGGTCTAAGATTCAAAGAGAACCTCTCTAGCTACCAAGGTAAAAGTAATTTATGAGTCTTTTAGCTCAATAAATAAAGGGTCAAACCTAAAAATATACAAAAATTTATATGTTATCCTCTTAAAGGTACCAACTCTAATCTCCTTAAGGGGTGAGAAAACCAATTTGATATTCTTCTCATTGTGCTTAAAGTACTAGGTACTAGCTTTATTATAATGTGTGACATTCATATCATATAACAAACACCTATCAAGTAATACATAAAAAATATCTACGAAATATGGTTCTTATATATAATTAAACTAATAGAAACTAAACATTTCTTGATAACATGTATGCTAATTTTATTTATTTAAGCTACATTTAATATTATGGATATGGTTCATATTTGAATATAAATTTGATTATAGCAATATGAGACACTACATTAAGATTGCTTCCTCCATCTATAATAATCATACAATTATAAACAGTATATATGTGAAAGATGCTGATGCGATATTAATTTTCAAAAGTCTTAGGTAGAGCTAAGACATAATGTACAAATATGACCATTACAGTGTATAGTGTGTTGGGTGGCATTAGCAAAATTATTCTTTTCATCATCATAATATTACTTTGTATAGTCATTTATAAGTTTATTTTTATTTAGGTATAAGTTTATATGTGGACACTCTCGGATATAGTGACCATACTTATAATATTTAATATACTATGGTTTATCTTGAGTATTCCTAATAATAATTGA